TTGTACACAATCGATCATCACCGTTCGTAGCGTTAAATATTCTTGCCGGTAATAAGCATTTTCGTATTGAAACACCGCGATGTTACGCTTAGTCTCTTAAAAGAATGGCGCATTAACACCATTCAAGAAGCTTTCTCTCATTTCATAATACATCACTGAATAACTAATCGAAGATATTTTTTCTCATCGATCACACAGTTAAACACGAAAAATGATAAATGTGCCTTTCTAAACGTCGTAAAAAGTTCAAATTAGTCATGATTACTGGTGGAAAGAGTGAAAAAAGCAGTGTCAGTGATGCAACGTACGCTGCTAATAAAATGTTCCGATCGATAGCTGAAAGGATTGAAATTACAAATAATTGCAAATATCCGGAGAAACGTAGTCGATCAAAGCTTTCGAGTTGAATGGAAAATGCAGCGTTAAATTGCGGCAAATAAAGAAGTTTACAATGGACACGCGAAAGATGTTCTTTCCGATAATGATTACAGCGGTAATTCGAACGTGGATCGTATTTACATTATTTTCATTGGAGCCAATTTGGTCTCTTTGCTCGTTCATGGACCATTGCGACATACGTTCGTGATGTAAATTTCCTGTTAACTCTCGCAACAGGGACATTCTACTGTATGCTAATATTTATTCATTCCTTGTACGTTTTCTCTCGACGTCTGACAGACGAAATATACGCGGTGAATCGTGATTTCGGATCTCGAATCTAGTTAGAAAAAGAGAAATTCGGACGCGTTGATTCAACTCGAGGCTATTTAACGCCTGTTACAGGTAGAATAATAAAGTCGAGGCATTTGCTAAATATAAATATGGCTAATTGCGATGGATTTAATCGCCGGCAAATTCGGATAAAGCATAAATCGTGGCAGCCAAGTGAAAGCAAACGCAATTAATTAAGGTAAACGCGTTTGTACGGCAAATTAACGCGATGAATCGCGGGTAAATCGTTAAGAAAAACAGGCCGAAATATAGCTATTAACGCGAATTAACTGAACACCGAGTTGGCAGTCGAGGGCATCGATCCTCGTAACTGCAACGAATCTAAAATTCGTCGATGCGTGGAAAATCCGCGGGACTGCAACGAACGCTCTTTAACGATACCTCTCTATTCGCTCGATACGATTAATGACCGTTAAACACTCGCTATTAATCCAAAGTGTGTTCAAAACGACCGTTTCGGTATCGCGGAATTGTGTTATATTATGTATCAACGGACATGAATAGTTTCGCTCGTTAGAGCATCAATTACTCGTTAATTACCGAACAAAACGAATGGTTCACTTTGTCCCACGATTATACCTATTGACGAGCTGTTCAGGAGGAAATGCTGCGAAGCGCCGGCCGTGGTAAACGATATTTAATTTATATCGAAACATACAAATTTTCTCTGTTGTTTACACATCAAAATAGAACAACGTAATATACGAGATCCTTAGATAATTAAAAGTACTAGGCTTCTAGTAACGACTACAAAAACCAGTTGAGCTCCGAACAAAAATCTTCATTCGAGAGTATCGTCCTATAACGAGGAACTGAACGAGCCTCGAACGAATTAAAACGTGATCTCACAGTATTAAACTCGTCCGGAAGTGGAAGTCATTCAATCAACGTTCGCGTTAAACAGTTTTTCTCCCCCAGTTCGGGGTAACACCGTTTCAAAAGGTTTAAGAAGCAATTAGCCGTTGATAACGCGTAATTAACCCCTAAGCCACGTGCACGTATGAATACCGAGCATTAATTAAAATGTATACCAGACCGTTGCTAATGGAACGATAAAGGCTGCCTCCCTTAACGATCATCTCTGTTAACGCGTGGTTACGACCGTCAAATGAATCAGAGAACAGTTCAACTTACATTCTGCTTTACTCTCCAAATTTATTTCATAGTTCAGCTACTCTGTTTAATCGCGTTTCCTCCTTGCTTTTGTGTAACAAAACTTTGCAAGTAATAATTTAAAACGAGAACGCTGCGGGTAACTCCATGCTTGACACGAATAAAACAGCATGAAAGGTCTTTCAGATCCTTTTAGAGCTAAAAGTGTCTCCAGACTAATTTCATCGTGTGTACATTAAGTTTCGAAAACTGTAACAACTTTTTCACTGCACCTGATCAATTTTAATGTATTTTCGTAATTACGAGAATCCATCGTCAATGCGTACTACGACAAAGATTGTGAACATGTAAATCTGTTCACATGAGGCTAGGTGAAGGATTACCTTAAAATTTGAATATCTAAGAAATGTTTGGAGCAGTATGTTGGGGAGTCTTTGCTAATGTAAATGCGCTTTTAAACGAGAAACGCAAAGGAGCGAGAAATGAATCGTCATAGCAGCTGTAGGAAAATCGTCGATCACGAACTGTCGATCGACGAGAGTCATCCGTTGAGTTCGACGGCCAACGAGCTCTCGTCGAGGGCTGGAACATTTTCGTTGATCGACAGCCGCTTCAATTTCACGCGACGCGACGCGGTAAAATTCGCGTTAGCTCCGCTTATCAGTCACGCCTCGCTTTGTCGGGTACCGTTGACATCAAACGGCCCCTGGTTTGGTCGTTTCTCCTCGCCTTTTACCCCATTCACCGCACGTGATGATTCGTCTTTGACGAATCACCCTTCACCAACTCGTGACGCTCCTTCTGTGTTCCACATACTATAGCCACCACTTCTACCTACACGGCGGTAAGAAAGTACGGCCATGACGTTCCGAGGTAATTAGTAGGATTCCAGGGAAAACTAGGTAATTCGTAATTGGAGATCCGTTGCAACTGATGCTGAGCAATTGCAGAGAGATGTACAATGGGTTTTGGTCAATTTTTATTAAGAATTGTTGAAGTTGTACAAATTTTGTAATTTTCGAATCCTCAAATTTTTAAGTTTGCAAATATTCAGACTCTCAAATTTTCACCTAACATGGTGGTATAACATGTGAAAATATAACGCGTAGTAATGTAAGATGTAGTAATCCAACGCGTAGTAATCCAACATATAGTATAATAATGCATAGTAATTCAGTGCAAAACGGTCGAACACGTGACAGTGCTATACGTAGTAATCTAAGGCGTGGTAACTCAACGAGTAGTAATCTAGCTCGTAGTAATCTAAGGCGTAGTAACTGAACGCGTAGTAATCTAGTTCTTACTAATCTAACGCGTAGCAATCCAACGTGAATAAATCTAGCGCGTAGTAATCTAAGGCGTAGTAACTGAACGCGTAGTAATCTAGTTCTTACTAATCTAACGCGTAGCAATCCAGCGTGAATAAATCTAGCGCGTAGTAATCTAAGGTGTAGCAACCCAGCGTGTAGTAATCTAGCTCGTAGTAATCTAAGGCGTAGTAACTCAACGCGTAGTAATCTAGTTCGTAGTAATCTAACGCGCAGCAATCCTACGTGAATAAATCTAGCTCTTGGTAATCTAATGCGTAGCAATCCAGCGTGAATAAATCTAACGCGCAGCAATCTAACGTGTATCTAGCGCGCAGCACATAAAGTAGAATACACAGCAATCTAACGAAGGATTAAACAAGTTGACCCTTACTTTGCTAACACCCAGTACACACATCCCCCGACAATACTTGGAAGAAAGGATGAATTCAACCTCAAAAGAGGTGCTTCAGTGGTGCTTTTCTGTAGCAATTCCTACGATTCCTTTCGAGCTCCACCTGTGTCTCCAACCCCTATTTTCTCACTCCCTTGTTCGTCCAGCTTTCTACCGTTCCTCTATATTGTTCCTGCTTTTCAACCAGCCCTATCTTCCGTCTCGACTCCGTCTCTTTAGTTTCAACAATTTTTTAGGTAAAGTCTCTTTGTCCGAAACCCACGGAAACTTCTCCACCGGCGGATCTTTTTGTTCCACACTTTCTCGGTATTTTTAATCTCGTTTGTACCCTTTTCATTTGCCACTTTCGCGTTTGCTAGTTCGATTTCTAGAAACCAGTAACGAGATGAAATACGAGTCGGGTTTCGTGCCAAGGTACGGTTGCGTAGCAGAGGGCCAGGTTCATGGCTAGGTCGGATGACCGAGCGCCGAGAATGTTTGTAATTCAAGAGAACGCATTTCCGGGAACATTACCCTAGCGTACAACTACTGCAGAGAGAATCGAGTTCTTGACTTCGCTTCGAGTAATACAATCGGGTCACGAAGAACTGCATAGAGAAATTGCTAGCTAAAAAATTCCAGTGAGTAAGACGAAATTGGGTCAGATTAAAGAGTTCGATTAATTCGCTCGCGAACCTGATGTAATTTTTCTAAATCGCTCTCCGTTAAATCCGATTTAAACAGCGTTTAATCAATTCCCTTTTCGCGTAAACTTATTTTTATAGAAACGAAAATTTTTACCAACTTGTATTTTAAGACCCATATGTACACACGTATACTGGTTTCCATGTTGGTTTTTGGTACGCGTTAAAACTACCCCTTTTTACTCGTCGATCTTGCTGGAGAAGCACAGGCAGCCACGGTTGAATTTGTTCCTTTTCCACCTCTCCATTTTTATTTCTCGTATAGTCTTTCGCATGGAAATGTTGATTTGCCGAGAATGATAAAAAATGCTAACCACCCGAGGGTTGCACAAAGTCGGTTGTAATTTTAACGAACACTTTTCGGCAAAAAAGGTGTTTCGTTTTAAAACATCGCTGTCGGATGTTCGGTTAAAAATTCAAAACGAATAAATAACTTTCGGACAAATTAGACACTCTATGCTAAATTTATCGACAGGATGTTAAAGATTTCCTGTACCGGAGAAATATTGCCTTAAACTAAAAGCTTGCTCTAAAGTACACGAAATTCTTTCCGTTTTATCACGAACTTTCGTTCGGACGTGACGCTAAATGAATTCGTAAAGCGACTTAAGGGTTGCTTACCCGAGAGTCTCTTAACGCTGAAACTACCCTAAAAAGGTGAAGATCGTAAAAACATGCAAGATTCCAGGCTTTCGTCGAAAATAGCGGAGGGTATAAACTTTCGTGTCCGATGAAAAATGTATAACTCACGTTTCGCCGATGCTCCCCCTTTCCTCGAGGTTTCCTGTAACAAACAATAAAGAAATCGTTAACACGCGATCATCGATTTCCCAGCGAAAGATGTTCGCCCGATAAAAGGAGCCCGTTTTATTTTCGTGGATCACGAGAATTGACGGTGGTCGCAATAACGAGAAAAATCGTAGAAAATCGTCGACTTTGTTCGCGAACGAGCGTCGAACTTCCGGATTATTATTCGATCTGTCGGTTGATGGGTCTCTGGCGATATAGCCCGGCCACCGGCAACATTTTGCTCCGATCGTGTAACGATGGCAATCGAGAGAATCGTTGCTCGAAATGAGTCAGCAGTCCCGTATCTGAGAGACGGAACAATTAATCGATAACGTCTTTCGATCGATGCCCATTGTTCGTAACGAGACGCTCGCTTCTATGATATTTCGCCGACGAAAGAACGAAAGTTTAGGATCGTTGACTCGGATTCATGTGCAGTTATTGCATCGCGGTGCTTACGAACTAACGTTACCGTTATAGCGAGCAATAAACATTATCGTTAAAAGAACTGTTGCGATTTCATTTTCTGAAAATTTGACAATTTGCGCTGCTGGAAATTAGAACCTTAACTAGCGTACTGTTACTGCTAGCGTGCTGTGTACTACTTTTTCTAGTTGTAACTACAAGATCACTTCTAGTATTCTCACGCCTTGTTATGAAAAAGATAAAAATTCGTACCGGAATATTAGCTAAAATTTTGATCAGCAGTTTGTGACGATTAGCTTCAAAGACCATACAAGTTTCGATAAGTAGCAAATTCGTAACAAATAGTGTGGCACTTAGCTCGCGGAAGCGTTGAAAATTATCTAGCACGAATATACCGTGTTTACCAGAGATCCTTGCGAGAAGTTCGTACAAGAAATTCCTGCAAGAAGTCCTTGCAAGAAGCTCACGATGCTAGTTAAATATTTTGTAACGTGAATTATGTAACAGGGATTTGCGAGCGATCTTCGGGAACCTGCACTGTTTTGAACGAAACTTTACGACGATATAAAGTCATTTAAGACATTAACCATACATAATAACCTATAGTACACGGATCTTAAAGGAGACGAAAACAACTAGTAATACAAATCATTATAAAAGTGAAATAAATTTTGTTAATCTCCAAAAATATTGAATACTCTGATATTTCTTATTTTCGAACTTGACATAGCGTAGGAAATTTATTACATCGCTAATGCAGTTCCTAATAAAATTATTTAAATCGCAGGTGAAAGAGCGGAGCGAGCAAACACAAAACGAAATGTAAAATTCGCCGGTTAATGCACGAGCATTTAAACTCGAAGATTAATTAATCGCGAAGCCCTGTATAATTCGTTGAATAAGTTAGCGTGGCCATAGCGAAGTTCGTTTCAGCGTGCTTGCCGAGATAACGCTACTGAAAAGTGTTGTTTGTGGGCCATAACTCAGCTGCCGCGTTGACACGACCTCTTAACCTCCGTTTCTGCCGGGCGTATTTTAATGCGCCGCTAATTTAATTTGCATCGTTGGGCATCGTTGCGCGTCGTTGATTTTCAAATAAAAGATTCGAGTCGACGGGAAATCGATGGAAAACACGTCGGTCGGGCGAAATAATTGATACGTACAAGAGAAATCCATTTCACCGGCAGTTTGGAAATTAAACATCTATCGCTCGAATCGGCGAATCTGGGCCGTCTCATTCAAATGAACCCCCGAAGGAAACCCACTCTGCTCTCGACGTATCTTGATCGTTCGAAAGTTTCGTACGGCAACGTTTACCCCGACGGAAGAGCCTCTTCCTCTCGGTTGGCTCTTTATCTATCTTCGATGAGACTCCATTCGCCTCGACCAAGGAAATTTAGATATTCCAAAGTTCGGTAAATATCGAGATCCGTTCGAAACGCGACAAGAAACGGGCTCCCGTTGCTTCTTCCTTCTACCGTTTGCATGATTAACGCGAAGGAGGGCTGCGATGCTCTCGACAAGAATTCGCTCTAATTTCGAGACAACGCGAGATTAATTGGAAATCGATTATTTAAATCCACGACAAAGGCGAACCGCCCTCTAATCAAGAGAACATACAAACTCCCGTTGGCAAGGCTGTGCTCTAACGTTAACGAGTTTATCGAGGAAACTAATATGGAGGGGACTAATTAATTAGGGGAGAACAATTTTCCAGAGGATACAAGGAACGGGCCAAGGAGCACAATGTGTACGCGTACCACGTCACCGAGTCTCCGAGTGAACAGCATTACGTGTACACGCGTGCCTGTCACAGGTCGATAAATTATTCAGCAGAAGGACGAACCGGCGACAGGCATCCTGAGCTAATTAACCTCGTTATCACGTGTGCAAGGCTCAAATGATCGGACACGTCCTGCAGCCTAATCCTTTCGAAACCTTCGCCATTACGACTTAAGTTGAACCCCGAACAGCTGTCACTGAATTTCGCGATTTCTCTCGTCTCAAAATTTACAAACTCTTTAACTTTCAGATCCTTGCATTTCCAACGTCTTAAATTTCCAGATTCCCGCACTTTGAAACTCTGAAATTTCTACGTCTGCAAATCCCGAAATTCCCAAATACATGATCCGTAGAGCAGAGAACGTTTCGGCGATAAGTGAACTAATCGTCGTGGGTTCGAGGGATGTGGAATGTCCGTAGCAACGGAAATAGGATTCGTACAGGTGACGCACGTCGATAGAAGGATTTCGAGCAGACCGTTCCCTCGCGCCCGCCTACTAATTAACCTCGTTATTTCGGCGACGCTGACAGAACATATTTGTCGCTGCACTCGATTCTAACGGGAGACACCGTTTACAAGCTGAAGTCGACGTCCATCGAGTTCGATGACACGGAGAATCGACACGGATTAATGATGCCACGTGTTCATATTCTATTCCAAATTGTCGACAATTTTAATTGTCGAACTTTTTATTATTGTAAGATCGCAAAGTTTCTCGTATTTACTCTTAACGATAATAATTAAGGATAACTTTCCGCGTAAGAACATTGTCAAACTTTGTTCGTGTCTGCGTTTGCTATCGATTAAAGCGTTGAAATTCAGCAAGAGTAGACCTGGAACTAAAAGGCAGTCAATTTACTCTGCACTTTAGTTCCTTGAGAACACATTACATCATCCTAAGTGACGTCTTTAAATTGATTTAAGAAGGCAGTTAGGCACCCGGCACTGCGGTAAAAGATAATATTATCCCTGAGGGGAAGCTCGTTCGTTCAGGTGCAACCGGGTTAAACTAATATCGTCGTACCGGTTGATTTCTCCGGGTAAAAACATTTTCACAATACGACGATTTTCATCGAATGCTCGACGAAGATAAACAGAACGGATACGGGACGAAAAACGTGGATACGTTTCGAATCAACATGGAAAACCATCGAACACGAGAGAGCAACAGCCAATATACTGGCGAGCTTGACGTCTAAATAGAAGTTACGTCGAGTATTCTCTCAGAGAGAGGATTTTCAAACTAGCATTCCAGTTCTTTGAAGAGCATTCGATGCTATGGACCGAAAGCACGCGATCTTCTAGCTTTCCTACCAACGAAATAATCTAACCAACGTCACGGTGATCAGTTTCCATGAAAGCTCTTGCGGACTGTTTCTACGTGCTCTTTCGGCTCCCTGAATAAACGACAAAAACGATCTTCGATCCAACATGGATCACCGATGTAACCTTATCTGATTAAATCAGACCAATCGAAAATTCCGATCATTCGCCAGATAAAAGCTTCTGTGAAACCCTTTCGAGTAGTCGGACAGAAACCTTGATGATCAAGTTTCGTTAATGGACACTAATTTCCAGGCAAAAAACGTGAAACGTAGAATTTTTTCGATAGAAGAAAATTTTCCTTTAACCCTTTTCGTGATCACGTTTCACTTTTAAGGGCAACATCGTACGGCTTACAGTGAAAAATTTCCGGTCCGAGATACAATCGAGATATCTTGTTCGTCCGAACATTGCAGCTGGAAGAGAAAGATTTCGACTGTCTGCCAATTTTTCTAAAACTTTTTCAATTTTCCCTGGACGAGTTTCGCCGTCGTGTCAGCATTTTTATCGTGCCATCACGGTTACGCCGCCGAGGGTCCATTTATTATTGCGTCTATTTCGCGTGGTTCAAAGAAACTTCGGCTCCAGACATTCTACGCATTCTGCCGATAACCAGCTATGCAAGAGAAATTCCTTTCACGTAGTCAAAGGACACGGCTAAGCACACACGGGTGCACGTGCGCGTGTACCAACGCACAGGTACAAACAGGCTTAAGGGCTTCCTCACGCGTGTTAACTGAAGCTACTTGTGATACTAGGTTATCGCAAGGGATGCTACGGTGTAACGGGATTCGCTGATGGTGCTAGATTCGCATTGCTCGCATTCTGGATCCGTAGCCTAATGACCAGGAACGGAACGGTACATAAAACACAAATTAGCATGCCACGATAATGGATCGCGAGTTCCGAATTGTCTATAGGTCTTCCTCGCGCTTATCGACCATTAGCTCCACCGTAATTCTGCGCCGAGCATCCCCGAAACCTATGTAGATGACAATTGGACCCAAATTTATAGTCGGGTCACGAATGTACACGCATTCACGATGTATCAAAGTCTGCAAAGTAAATCATTTAATCGTAGGTTGTTTTCATAGATTTATTCGTATCCCTCGATATATCATAAGCATTCGTAATCCATTTGTGAGATTCGGTAACGCCAGGAATTAAATTCGAAATTTTAGAAAGTTGAATTTTTGAATATTGACAGGGTAGGATATTAGGACCTAAGACCTTGGAGTCTAGGAACCTCTGGACCTTGAAACGCTTGAACTTTGAAGTTTGGATGTCTTGGGAACTTTGGAAGTCTGAGACTTTGGAATAGAATGCGTTAAGAATTGTCGTTTTCGAAAGTAGATTCAAAGGGGAAAATGTGAAGTTGAAAAATCAGTGTAACTTTCGACGTTTAGAAAGAATTATTTCTATTGCGAAACGAAGAGAAAGGTGAGCGACCTTGAGAAAATGAT